GCCCCATGGGATCCGTGGTGAAGTCGGAGCCCAGCTCGCCGCCGCCCGCCATCGCGTCGCACTCACAGCGCGCTTGCCTCGGCGACCTGCGCGACATGATCAGTATGTACCTGCCGCCCGGCGGGGATGCGGCCGACGCCTCGTCGCCGCTGTCCGGCGGCCGCCTGCACGGTGTGCACCAGCACTACCAGGGCGCCGGGACTGCGGTCAACGGCACGGTGCCGCTGACCCACATCTGAGCGCGCCCGCCGCCGCCGCCCTCGGGCGGCACGCCCGGCGCTGAGCTTCGCTTGCCTGTGACTGTTGCCTTGTACCGTTGTCGGGGAGGACCGAAAGTTGCGCTGTAGCTATCGGGTTTTGTACAAAAGCCAAGAGAAGTGGGGGCAGCGGCCCCGGGGCTTTCGAGACCCGGTCGCCCAGCCGCTGCCGCCCCCTTCACAGGCGGGGACCGTTGTGAGTTTCGCCCAGAAAACACCAGCCCCCTCCTCCTCCGGGGCCGGGGGCTTTCTGTTGCATTTGCAAATACTGTCTCGTTAGTTCGCCGGTAGCAGAGGAGCGAGTGAGTGGGAGGGACCGCTTGGGGCGAGGCAGGCCCGGGGACTGTACCGCTCCGCCCCGGGTCGCGCCGCCGGCGAGGTCGCCGTGGAGTCCGGGGGCGGCCGCGCGGGCGGCTCCGCTGCGGAGGCTACTGTTAATTTATAGCAGGTGTGCGTGTGTCCCCCGCCTCGCCGCGCGGGGCCGCTTCTGTCCAGTCGGCTGTTGGTGATTTTGCCGTGATCTGTTTGCTACATCGTGGCGCCAGAAGCGAACGCGTTCGGATTTCATTTGGGTAGTGGGGAGGGGGCTATTTTCTGTCAGGTTTTTAAAGATTTTACTCTTAATTCCTAAACGAGAGATCAATAAATTTTATAACCAACACGATGGAGTCCTGCTAATTTCGCGGCCCTGGAACTAGACGCAGGTTGGGGAGGGGCCAACGCGCGCTTTTATAACCCGGACCGGAGTTTTATAACCCAGGGCGGGGAGAGGGGCCCGAGGGGAGGAAAGCGCCAGCGGATTTTTTTGTTTTATTTTTCTTTTTAACTTGGTGACCCAAAACGCATGAGCTGCCACTTGTTCTCAACGGACACTCGGATCAGAAAGCGAGTTACCTTGCAGCGGGGCTCCGAGTGCGGTCCCACACCCGCGGAGTCGAGCACTCTCCGCGACCGCACACTTGTTGCTTGCCGTGAGCAGCCGCGGAAGGATTGCCTGCTGCGGCAGCCACGCGGGGCGGGGCGGGGTGGTCAGTGGCCGCGGAAACGGTCCCAAAAGGAGCACCTTTACTGATGTGCACTGGGGCGGGAAGACACTGGAGCGGGGCTGAAGTAGTTACCAAACGAGAAAGTCCTTGGGAAAGTTTCAATTGTCCCGTTAGAAGTGGCTCCAGGGATCCTTAGCCAGAAATAAATCCACTTCAACCCTGGTGGCTGAAGTGGCGAGGCCAGCACCCAACACTAGAAAGTTTAGTTTAAAAAAGTACACCTTAGGTTCCCAAAGCCCTAAGACTCCTCCAATGTCGTGTTTTCTTTTTCAATTTCTCAATCCAGCCCATTGTGCTTCGTGTTTTCTAAAACTTCGAGCCCGCTCGCGACTCCCTTGGTATACCAACCTTTGGCCCAGTCCCTACCTGACCCAGGGGCATTGCTTGGTGCCGTCTATCCCTACAAGGGCCCCTCCTTTCACACCCAGCCACGTGGCCCCCGATTATCTCCTTGGGGCCTAGGAAGAAAACAAATAGAAGCTGGGTGTTTTTACCCCCTCTTCAGCTGTTTGCGAACCCTGGTGGTGCAGTGATTAAATCTCGAGGCTGCTAACCCTAAGGTCAGCGGTTTGAACCCAACAACCTGTCCACCGGAGATAACATGTGATAGCGTCCTTCAAGATGTCAGGCATAGAAACCCTAGGGGCAGTTCTGCTCTGCCCTACAGGGGGGCTATGAGTCGGAATCCACTCGGTGGCGGCGGGTTTAGGTTTTGGTCAGCTGGGTGTGAGGTGATTTCCTTAATCCGGCTAATCCTGTTACCTCGCTATCCCTGAATCACTAAACTGGGCCTTTCCAGTGAGCTTGGCCTGGTGCAGGATTTTGATCCTCAGTCCACTCCTGACCCTGGGCGACAGATTCTCCCCGAAATTGGGCCAAATTCCACATTGTTTTGTGCCGCCCAGCTGTCCACCTGCGGGCCAGGGCGGGCTTCGGGGGAGGGCCGAGGGCTTCCGCGGCCACGGAGGTCAGGCCCACTCTTACACTTCACTGCGGATCCTGGCCCCTGAGCCCACCACGCCTCTCCGGGTCCCTGGAAAGGCCGCGCTGCCCGAACCCCACCCCCGACGGAGCCGCAGGGGGAAAGGGGTCGGGGGTGGTTTACAGACCTGGCGCCTAGGCCTGCACCTGGGGCTCCTCCCCGCCCCACTCCCTCGCTGCCGGTCCCGAGGCCCCCTCGAACTGCTGCTGCTTCCGCCGTGGCGGCTGTGATTGGAGCCAACCCACAGGCTGCCAGGCCGCAGAGCCCCACCCCCGAGGGTGCCAGAGTCCCAGAGGCGGGAGTCGTCACATCCACTCCCCATTCAATCGTTCACAGCGTGGGAGCCTCAACAGAGCGTCTGCTTTAGGTACCCAATTGCTGGCAATCGGGACTGAGGTTTAGTCTGAAATGACTCTAGGCCGGGGAGCATCCAAACCTGCAGATGCCCGGCGCTGACCTTGAGGGCGGAGTGAAAGCTGGGGGCTAAAAGGCCACTGATTCTTTCCCAGAGTCCAGTGGGACTGCCGTCTCAGAAGTGCCAGGGACACCATCTCACGTACTGCGCGCTCCCTCTCTGAAGTGCAGCCTTTGTGCTGCGCTTCGTCTCGTTTCCTACTTGCCTTTCAGGGAACGGATTTCATCAGTCAGCACCAGTGGAGGATTTAAACGCAGTTGAAAGTTGTGTGTGTGTCTGTGTCTGTGTGTGTGCTGTTTCATAACTTGAGCAACAGGGGTGAGAACCAAAATGCACTGCAATGGCCCTTCAGTGCCCTAGGCCGCAGTTTTCCCACCCAAGCACTACGCGCCCCCGACACTTCCACCGCGAGCGTGGCCCCTACGCCGCTGTTTTCTAGGCCCAGCTCTGGGCAGGGGGAAGGTGAAGGGAGGGATTTGAGGCTTCACCAACAACAGTAACAAAATCTGCTCGCAGCCCGGCTTCCCCCGCCTCCCCTGGCTCGTTTTACATGTGAGGAAGCGGCCCGGAAAGGGGAAATGACGGTGCTCGGGGTGCAAGAGCTGCTCCTACGGCGGCCGGGCGGAACCGGAGTCCCGGGCCAGCAGTGCGCTCACTTCCATCACTAAACGAACACCAAAGCCAGAGGCTTCGCGGCCCCAGCTGCCTCTCAGGCTCAGAATGCAGCGGGGTCTCTAGAGAAAAGAGACGCCCAGTGGCTGCCGCGTGGCGAATGGCGATGTGATGTGAGAAGCGCAAGGCCCGGGCCGAGAGCAAAACACCGGTCCGTCTTTCAGTTCCCCGACGGGGGCAGAGCTGCCTTCTGGTGGGAATTAGACTACACGGAGATTTGCTTCGCTGTCCTCGGTCTCTACAACTTCCCTCACTGATCCCTCGTCTGGAAAGCTGGGGGGGGGGGGCGTCCATAATCCAGGCACAAATTCACAAAGAAAGGTGCACAGCGCATCCTTCCTTCGGATGGTAGAAAGTGACAAAGCATCCGAATGGCCAACAGATGGGAAAAGGTTAAGTAAAGATATCTGTAGAGAAACACCACTTTGCAGATGTTAAAATTATATTGCCGGAGAAGTCGCAATGACATGACGAAAAGCTTAAAACACAAAATGAAAACAACAGGATGCACAGAACTATATTCAGTAAAGGACCCCTTGTGTTTAAAAAGAAGTATTTGTGTCAGGAAAATGTTTAAAAACTGCAGGGTAGGATTGTGAACTCTGTGAGTCCTTCAATTTACTTCCCCGTTCCTCCCAGTTTTCTCGAATAGGCTTGTATTCTCCTTATCACCCAGAAAGGGCAGGTTTCAAAGATACTTTCTCGAGACCGCCAATACAGAATGTGGCTCCTTAGGAAGGAGGAAAGTTCCAGGCTTTCCTTCAGTTGTGCTGGGGCGGGGAGGGGGCGGGGAGCCCCGGGAGCTGTAATCCCCTAGCTTTTCTCCTGGTTGGGGCCTGCAGTTAACACAGGCAGCCGAACACCAGAGTAACCCCCTGCCATGTCCCCTCCTCAGTAAGCAGGAGCGGGATCAGATTAGGGAGCGGCTGGGTCATTCTTCAGATCCACTCACTGGAGAAAAAGACCTCCTTGAGAGCCAGGCTGAACAGCCAGGGCTGCGGGAAGCAGGAGCCACTGAGGAACCCCCGAGGCCCAGAAATGCAGGAGCCCAGCAACCTTCCCCGCCCTCTTGGGAGGAGGGCAGAGAGCAAGCCCCGTGTTGGGCCCCAAGCCAGGCACCTCAATGGGCAAAGGAGGGGCAAGGTGTGCACCCATTAAGCTGAATGGAACACAATATACGTGTCCCTCCTCCCTACCTGCATCATTTCTTACTGGGCCACTGCCACCTGTTCTCCCTGCTTTCAATCTAGGGCTCAGGGAACCATTCTCCCAGGGCATTCACTCCACGTGGCAAACAGAAAGCCTGTGGTCCTCATTTCCCAGCTTAATGCCGTCTGGTGGCTTCCTTTGGATTGCTCTTTGAAAAATAACCCAGCTCCCCCAAACCCTGACCCAGCTCCTGCCCACCTGCCTGGGCTCAACTTCTTTCACCTCTCCTTCTCCCTCCCTTGAACCCAGCCAAGACTCCTTTGAGAAATGTTTGTGGAAGGAACAAATCATGGTCCCTGGAAGTTTCATCTCTAAATAAACTTTCAAGTCTCGTAATTGTCTCAAATAATGATTACAATGCACAGTGCATGTTTTAATTTTACATTTAGAGGATTTCCGAAAATCCACACATCCGGTGCAATTAATAAAATCTAATAACAAAAAACATGCGTGGTTTCTCTCATGCCCCAGGACATGCTCTTTGTGTGATTCTACCTATGTTCCATCTGCCTCCAGTCTGTAGGTTCCATGAGGGCAAAGGCTACGTGGGTTTTATTGAACAATGCTTAGCATAATGCCTAGCCCACAGCAGATTCTCAAAAATACTGTAGAGTGTTTACTGCAGGTTGGGGATCCTGGGAGTATTATATAATTAGAG